TGCATATGCACCTGCAGATACATTCACGTATACATATACCGATACATTGTAATATTTCCCAAACAATGCTTGCACCAGTCTAAAAGGAATCGGGTTATGGGTGTTGTGTTGGAGAGGGAGGCTGTTGAGTAGATGGGTGTGGGAGGTTGTTGAGTAGATCGGCGTTGTGTTGGAGAGGGGAGTTGTTGAGTAGATGGGTGTTGTGTTGGAGACGGAGGTTGTTGAGTACATGGATGTTGTGCTGGACAAGGGATCGGGGGTCGGCGGGCAGCGGGCGGTCGGCCGTCGATTGCAATGCATTGCAGGAAGGCCTCATGGGCCTCCCACTTCCCAGGGGCTTCCCAGACGCTTCCCGAGGTCTCCCAGTCGCTCGAGACATCCTCGCAACAGGGGGCCGTCGCCCGTGACATCCAGGGGCTCCTCCCAGGGCCGCGGATCCCTCTCGGGGGCCTCCGGGGCTTCCCAGGGGCTCCCCAGGGGCCGCTTCCCGAGGTCCCCCGGTCGCTCGAGACATCCTCGCAACAGGGGGCCGTCGCTGGTGACATCCTCAATTCGGGGGCTACCGATCGAGACATGCCCACAATCCAGGCGCACAGAGGCTGAAAGGAGAGAAACAAAAAAAAGAAGTGCGAGCGGGCCAGCCGAGAGAGGGACAAATCCCCGTCGCCGCTCGTCGCCGCCCGCCGCCTTGTCGCCGCATTGCTTTGCAATGGTTTGCATTGCTCTGCATTGCTCTGTATTGCTTTGAGTTACTTTGCAATGGTTTGCGCTGCAACGAATTGCAATACATTGATACGCATCGTTGTTCTTGCTTTCCTTACACTGGTTGACATTGAGTTGCATTGTATTGCCCTGCTGTGTTTGCTGAGCTGGTATTCATTAATTTGCTTTGTTGTGCATTGGCTTTCATTGCGTCACCTTGCTCTGCGTTGCCTAGCACTGCCATAGACACACAGATGCATCTGCAGTTGCACCTACACATGCACATACGTATACGTTTGCCGATACATGATGCCTGCTCCCCAAACAGTGCTTGCGCCAGTCTGGAAGGAATCGGGCTGGTGTCTCGCCCAGGCTGGCTTCTGGTCGCCCCGTTGCCGCCCCGTCGCCGCTCGTCGCCGCCCGTCGCCGCCTTGTCGTGCACTCGTGTGCCGCCCTGGCCGGCTTGTGGTCGCCCTCGCCGGCGCCCCGTCGTCGCTCGTCGCCGCCCGTCGCCGCCTCGTCGCGGGCTCGCGTGCCGCCGCGGCCGGCTTCTGGTCGCCCCGTCTCCGCCCCGTCGCCGCTCGTCGCTGTCCATCGCCGCTTCGTCGCCGCCCGTCGCCGCCTTGTCGCCGCCCGTCGCCGCACAGAGTTGCATTCGCACTGCTCTGCATTGCAACTGCACTGCGTTGCTGTGCATTTGTGTCGCATTGCTTCTCAATGATTTGCGCTGCTTTGCATTGCCGTATGTTGCGTTGCGTCACGTTGAATTGCTTTGCACCACGCAGTTTGCGCGACCTAGGTTGCACTACATCGACTGCACCACCTAGATTACAACGCAGAGACTGCAGGAAGTCACAGTTTGGGGTCCACGCTGGCGAACATCACTGTGGAAGATAGAAGGCCTCTAATTGGAATCGCGCTGGGTCGATGGTTTCTTATGTGCCCCACCCATTTGAAGCACTGGGGGTCTGCTGAGCACTGGAGGTCTGTGGAGAGGCCCCGTGGATCTGGAGGCTTCCTGCTCTTGCTACCGCTCTCGCCCTTCCTCGTCTCTCGTGTCTCCCTCCTTCCTCCTCCTCCTTGTCGTCGCCCTCTGTCCTCCCGTCCGACTTTCATACTCCCGTGTGCTCCCACTCTGCCATCTAGCCAGCCGATAGCCCCCCATCCGGGGTCTGCCATCCTACCCAATTAAAAACACTGCAGGGCCGACTTTTTCTTTCAACAGGACAGTTTGGCGTCGACGATGCAAAATGTGGGACAGGAGAGGGACTGGGCGCACATCGCGCTCGAGCTTGTGAAATGCCGTTCTCGCCCGGGCGCCGCGCTCATCGTTCCTACGAGCTGAGCTCGTGCTCGGGCGTGGCGCACACGTTCCGCCCCAAACGTCTCAACAGCGGAGCCGAGCGCGAGCCAGCGAGATGCAGCTCTCGCCGGATCGCCGCGCAGATGTCTTATCTGAGAATGGCGCGCCTGCCTGGGGCGCGGCCCGTATTTGCCACGCGCCCAGTCGTGGCGAGTGCGGGGCCGCGCGCGAGCGGGCGAGTGGTCGCCCTCGCCTGCGTGGCAGCGCCGGTTCTGCGTGGCGCATGCTGCATCTTCGCCACTGACTTTTGGAAACGCGGCCGCGCCAGATAAAGGTTTCGTGGTGCTCTCGCCCCCGTGCCGCGCAAGGATGTTCTGCCAGGTTCGTTCCTGCGCGTGCGCGGCCCGTGTTTTCCCCCACGCCCAGTCGTCGGAATCGGGACCGCGAGCGAGCACATTCCATTCGCCAAGCGGGAACCCGCGCCAGTCCCAATATCAAGTTGCGCCAGAATTGGTTCCTACATCACGGGGGGGAAGATGGGAGTTCGCGGGGCCCGGTAACTTGTTCGATCTGGATTACTTGACTCTCCTCACTGTTCCTTTCTCCTCCCATCTTCATCCTCCGTCTCAATGCGCCCTCCATCCTCCTCCAGTTAAGTTCTCCTTTATCATCCATAGGTATCCTCCTCCTCCTCCTCCTCCTCCCCCTCCTCCTCCTCCTCTTTCGTCTTTCACCCTCGTTCCTCCTCCCTACCTTTCCGTCTTGCCACACCCACCTGATATCATAGATCTTCTCATCCATCCTCCTCATCCTTCCTCATTGTCCCTGCTCCCTGTTCGAGCTGTTCCCGTCCATCGTCTTCGATGTCCCGCCCTCCTTTCTCCTTTGAGGGCATGCTTCGTCTGTAGCTATATAGATAGACAGAAAACGGCTGAGAACGAGACATAGAAAGAGAGACAGAGAGAGAAACAGAGAGAGACAGTAAATTGGTGAGGGAGAATGGGTATACCTACTTGTATTATAGATGTGTGTATTCATATTTGTATTTACATATACGCAGTTAGACCTTACGTTTATAGCCGTTCATACCGAACATCATGGACTCATACAGAGAGGACAGAAGGCATTGACAGAGAGAGAGAGGAAGCGAAAGAGAGAGAGAGAGAAACAACAACAAAACAACACAACATGAGCGAGAGAGAGAGAGAGAGAGAGAAAAAAAAAGGAGAGCGGGACAGCGAGAGACAGAGAGAGAGAGAGAGGAAGGGAGGGCGAGAGGCACGGGCCAAAGCGGAAGGTGCCGAGCCCACAGGAGCCACTTCGGCTCGAGCCTCTTTGGCTTCGGGAGCAGCGGGCGGTGGACGCAGGGCCCTCTGCCACGGGGGCCCCCCCCCCCTTTGGATTGCCTTGCTCCGCTGGGAATCGGCCACTGGGCGCGCCCTCCCGATGGCGGAGGCGTGGTGGCGATTCCTCCTGCTGGCGTGCTGGCCTGGGGCCATATTGGCTTGCCTGGTAGGGAGCGGCGGTGTCGCTGGCGCGCTCCCGCTGGCCTGGCGCCGGATAGTCACCGCCGCGGCGGCGTCGCCCTTTGACCACGGGTGGATGGTCCTGGCCGTCCTCCTGCTGATGTCGCGGGTCTCCACAAGGGGGGTGAAGACTACGGGGGGGGGTCGCTGGTTATTGGAGGTGGCGTTCGTTGGTTCTTGGATGTTCTTGCTCGGGATACTTGCCAGCAGCTGCGCCTACTCGAGGTCTTTCCCCGGGTGCCCAGATCGTCCCGAAAGGCCACCGGAGGCCCGATTTAGGACCCGAAAACCACCAGGCGTCGATGAGAGGGGTAGGGACCGTGGTGGGTGTGTGGATATCATGACCGTGGCGACGGTATCTCCCAGATCTCGTGGCCCCCCGTTCCTCTTGAAGCACGCCCCCTGGCCCCCACTCGTCCGCTCACGTGCCTCGGGCCGTGATGCGCATCCCCCCCCCTCTGCCTGGCCCCCCTCGTGGGCGCACCCCGGTGATGGGTGCGCTGGTGCTGCCCTTTGGCCTGATCAGCGGCTTCCTCCAGCGGCCCCGGTGGCCTGCGTCGGCGGGCCAGACTGTCGTTGTCGGCGCTGTTTCTTTCGTGGCGCCCGGGCTGCTGGAGGAGCTGCTCTTCAGGGTCCTCGTGCTGCCGGGGAGGGAGGAGGACTTCGGCTGGCTCACCGCTTTGTCCATGCTCTTCGTGTTCACCGTGGTGTACCACATGGACGCGATCCACAGGGAGCACGAGGTCTTCGACGATTGGCGCTTCCTCTGCGCAGCACTCGCGATTGGCGTGGCCTGCACGCTCGTATACACCAGGACTGGCTCGTGGTGGCTCGCTGCGGTCGTGCACTGGCTGCCAGTGTGGACGTGGCTGTCGTTCTTCGGGGGGAAGGAGAGGATCGACCAGACGAAGATCGACCAGGCCAGCGTTGCCTGAGGTCTCTCGCTCCTCTCTCTTCCTCTTTTTCTCTCGGCCACCTCGCTCCGCTGACCACGCTGAGGATTCCATCAGCAGCGCTTGTTGTAGCTTGAAGTACGCAGAAGGTCGTATTGCTTTTGAGTGTAAGGGTTGCGTCCTTAGCCCACTCTGCGCACAAGACATAAGGCCGTGCAGTGCCAAGCAACAATAACATGTGCATTGCTAGCAGCAGCGGGCTCCAGGCATCCAATTTGCCGTCCACTAAAAACGCTGCCGAGTCAACCCAGCACGTCTCGATACAACAGTCAGGTAAACAGCTAGCGCGTGCATTCGCAGGCGGAGCTCCTGTGAAGCAGCCTTGGGAGGGGCGTTTTCCCGTGGTACAGAATGGCCATCCCTCCTCCTGGGAATCTTCCTCTTTACAGGGCGCCTCCTCCTAGGGATCTGGCTCCTCCTCTTATTTGAAGCCTCGTAGGGGTACAGAGTGGCCAGCGCACGTATGCGTCATTGCCGTGGCAACCAGAAACAGTTGTCGATCTGCTTTGCAGGGCCCCCTTCCCATCCTCACGTCTCCTCGGTCTTCTTCTAATTATCATTCTCAGATTCCTCATTGTCTTCCGTGGGCAGTTGCGGTCTTTCGGGAGAAGGATCAGGTGTGATGTTTCGTGTTCGAGATTCCAAGCTCGCGAGACCGCTGTCCGCCCAGCCTTTCTCTTCGCAGTGTAGTCAAACATTGTAGCATGCATGCCGCCGATGTGTGTGAGCTGCGTTTCTGGCTGATTTGCCTGAGGGGATGTCCGCGCAGCGTCGCTGTTCACTTTCCCGAGACGCGCCTCGCTGCAGCGGACCGCCTTCGGTGGGCCGACTAGAGCACCATTGACCATGGAACATAATCGGCAGTTGCGTGCCCCCTGGGGGTGAGAAGAAATGTTTGCGATTTTCTTTTCTTGTCGTTTCTTCCTCCTTCTCCACTCCCTCGTTCCTTCGTCGTCCTGCGAGGGGCGCGTGAGGTCAAAAGGGGGGTCTATCCCAACAATGGCCCGGTGGAAAAAAAGCTTGGTAGCAGGCATGCAGAACAGGCATGCAGGACTCCGAGTCTGTCCGTGCATAGTTTGTCGGCTTGGCCTCGCGCCCTGGTTCCGGCGCCCCTGCGGCTGTTTTCGCGCGGGCGTCTGTGTGGGTGTTGGACGATGCGGCCGCACGCCACGACGGCATGTCGCACGCTTTTGATCGTCAGCCCATGCTTTGGCAGCAAACGGGCGGTCCACGGACCGGGATAAATCGCTCCAGAGCGTTCTGGATTGGTTGCGGCGCCCGGTATATCCTCCAGAACCGTTAGATCTCAGACCTCCGATTTGTCCCGGTCCGATGTTGTCCCGGTCTTGGCTTCGTCTCAAGCTTGATTCTGGCGGCGAGTCCTTGAGCCGCCTGCAGGAGAGAGGAGAGGAGGGCAGGGGTCGAGACAAAGCGGAAGAGGATGGGGGAGAGGGAGGACGGGCGCGGCTCGCAAGACCAGCTGAGACCGCTATCGGGGCCCAGGTGGGCCAGAGCGGCGAGCATCCAGCGCCCTTGGCCCGACCCACCACCGTGTTCTCTGTTGTGATTCTTGGGCGCCACAGCAAATACCTGGCAGTGTTGCAAGAGAGTCCTTGTGGACGTCTCCCAGGAAAATAGTTGCAACTGCGGCTTCATGGGATGCGGGCTTCCTCGTGGCACTCTGAGGCCCCTTGAGAAAGACACCTCGGGGCATCTATACGCACCCTCATGGGTCCTGACGTGGACGCCTCGAGGATCTCTTGATGGCCACACTGAGAGCTTCTGGGAAGCCTCTCTTGGGGACCTGCTGGGCGTCATGGGGCCATCGTGGGGGGGAAGCAAGGGGGGCGGATTCTCGATCGTGTTCCAAGGGTCTTCCCGCAGCCCCTTGAATAGATGTGTCGTTGCAAGCGTTTCTTGACAAATCGAGGCCTGTCGCTGGCGCGGCGCTTCCTCGCGGCACCGGGGACAGACTCGAAGCAGACCACTTGAATGGCATACGCCATACGCCATGCTTCTGTTCTTCTGTCGCCCTCGCTCGCTACGCTTTTTCATTTCCCATGCCCACCACGGCACACTATCGATGACGATGATGATGACGATGAAGATGACGATGACGATAACGATGACGATGACGATGACGAAGTCGTCGACGATGACCATAGCCGCATCTTCAACGCCACTGCTCGCCACGGCTTGCCTCCCGTACGCCAGTGCCCCGTCCGCCGATGCCAGCGGGTGGCTTCAGGCGTGGGCCCCGCTACCTCCCCGCGCTCTTCCTGCCCCCTTCAGGTGACGCGCGAGATGTACGACGAGGCCAGCTCGGTGGGTGTCCGGCCAAGCGAGGGCAGCGCGGGGATGGAACATCATTCGTTCTCTGATGGTTACCGGTGCCCATAAAAGAGTGTGTGATTTTCCATCGAGGTTGGAGGGCAGCGATGTGGCATTAGCGACGGAAAGGCTTCCTGGGGTCGAGTCCCTCCGACTTCATCATTCCGTTAAGGTGGGGCACAGCAGGCCTCTCAAATATGACGTCAGCCTGCCAGCAGGTGCCCCGCGGACAGGCGTCAGTCCCTGATGACCCAGGGGCCTCTGTGGCTCGTCACGAAGTTGAAGATCGACGAGACATGTGCCCCGTATAGATCTCGTATCAGTACGTCGTATCGTATGTCTCTCCTGTAGGCGTCCCACTCTTTTCCACGACAAGCTGTCTGTGCGCCGCGACCCCCCAGTTGCTCCCGATCCCTACCAAAGATTCCTGATCTTGAGTGCCACCGAACTTGACCTCGGGCGACCCGCAAGCCGCCAACATGTCTGGTCACAGACCCGAGCGCGATAGGAGGAAGGACGGAGGGTGCGGACGGAGAGGAGAGAGAGGAGAGGGGAGGGGAGGGAGGGGGGAGGAGGTTCTGCCTGGGCGAGGGCGATCACGTTCAAGTGAGGGCTTTGAGGTCCCTCGTTGATGCACCAGGTGTCGTCAACGCCACACGCCACACCTTTTCTGGGGGCGGCCGCAGCCACTTCGCAGGAGCTGTTGAACGACATCCGCCCGCTCCAAATGCCTCACGCGTGTCTGTGTCCAGCTTTTTTTGAGCAAGCCGGTTCGGCGTACGTGTCTCTCTCTTTGTGGTCTTGGGATTTGGGCCTTGCGGTCGTTCTCCTTGTGGTGTTGTGCTCCCTGCACGCCTGTTGCCTGACGTTGATGAGGATGAGTAGGGGGGAGATGAGGAGGCGGAAGACGGGGGGCCTGCCTGACGGCGGTCCATAGTCATGTTAGCTCGAGCTGCCTCGGCTCAGTTTGTTTTGATTTGAGCTCCCCCACGAGTACAGCGAGTCCGACGGCTCTGCCGACGTGGGTATTGGTCTGTTGCATCTGGCTGGCGCGCGTGTTGCGGCCCAGGAGATGTGTCTGTGCTGCGGGCGGAGTACCTGGGGATGGTCGAGGCGGCTGGATGGGGGTCATTGGTGGACACCGTCGAAGGAACTTGGGCCCTCACGATTGCCTCATGATGGTTGGCATGCAGAACGATTTCGTGCCGATCGACTCCGTGAACCCGCAACCCGCCGGGGGGGGGCGCCTTCGGCGTGCCTGGGGGGGCTTAGACAGCAACACGGATAGTTTAGTTCATGGAGCACTTCGCGGCGGTTGGCGGACTGGTCGTCTACACCCGCGACTACAACCCCATGGACCAGTGATCCTGGCCGGAGAACGGGGGCCCGTTCCCGCGGCATTGCTTGCAGGGCACTGTGGGGGAAGGGCCTTCAGAAGGAAGGGAGTGGAGGCCATTCACGCATCGCACCAGATGGCAATTGCCGACTTCCCAGATGCGCCCATTCTTTTCTGTCTTGTTTGCGGGCGCTACACTCAGTACGTTATCAGAGCTCTGCCTGGCAAATGCCCAGGCAGACCCCCCCGAAACAGGGGGCGCCTCAACAGGCTTCTCGCTGGCAAGCACCCAACATCGAGTGCCACCATGTCAACGCCAGAGCGGTACAATACCGCCGAGATTCAGAAGCAGCAGCGACTGCAGCGAGAGCGGGCGGCTGCGCGACTTGCGTCGAAGCCGCCGCCGCCGCCAGCGCAGCACCGTGTTCCTCGCTCACATAGAGGCGAGGTCGCGCAGTCGCGACTGCTTGCGAGTTCAGCTGACTCGGACTAGGCCCGACCTGGCCCACTGTGCTACCACGAGGACAGCCAGGATGTTCTGGCAGAAGGAGGCATCAAAGCGGATACGTACGTGTGGTCTGGCTTGGGATGCCTTCTCTTGTCTGTCACGTGCCCCAACGATGCAAAGATACCGTGTGGCGAGGTGTTTGCGATCATGGATGCCGCCCGTGCTGCCCGTACACTTGATTAGGAGCCGATCGGGAGTTGTTTCTTGCAGGATACATCGAGAATAACAGCGCTGCTGCGGGTCGCTAATGCGAAGCTTGTGCCGACTTCAGCGCTGGCGCCCGTGCCGCAGTCACACGAAGGCCCCGGCTCAACCCGCGTCACGGCATGCTGCACACAGCGTTCCCGGAGGCTTTTGGGCGCTGGTGATACGTGGAGACATCGAGTGCCTTGTCGACGTGCAGGCGGGGACCTGGTCGGCCGTCGAGCCCAAGAGCGGCTCACAGGTCCTGAGGCAGTTCTTGCACGAGCCGTCTGGACAGACGTCGGCCGTGTCGCAGGTCACGCTCTCGGAGAGGGAGCGGGCCCGCCTCGGCATCCCTTAGCCGGCCACATCGTACCTGTGGGCCTACCCGATCACAGTCAACAGCATGACGGACCGGCAGCGCTGTCATTTATCGCCCACGACGCCAGAGTTTTGTTTCTTTATGCTCGGAGGGTTTGCGAATATTGATGATGTGATGGCAGGGTTCAGGACATCCGGGCCCGAGCGGTTGGCACAGGTTTCAATCTGGAGGCGACACGGAAGTGCATGGATCTCGCCTTCACCGAGGGTGATAGGTTGGCAGCGAGTGACAACGCTCTTGCTCAAGGCAAAAGGCGCACATATACATACATGCGCTACCAAGCAAGATGTGGACTATCCAATGGAATACGAGCATGGAGCGTTTGTTTACTGTTTCGCTGAGGGCAGCGCCGTCTGGACGGACAGGTACGTATATTCGCCAAGTCGCCCGTCAATTCGAACGACAGCGGAAAGTCCGATTGAAGACAATTTTGCAACCGAGCGCGGGATGGAGGGGGAGGCAGAGGGGGAGGAGGAGGAGAAGGACGAGTGAGCAGGAGAGGGAGGAGGAGAGAAGGAAAGCGGAGGAGCGGAGGAGTGGCAATGAGCAGAGCAACAGGCAGTTGAAGGAGGAGGAGGAGGAGGAGGAGGAGGAGGGGACGGAAATACCACATGCGGGATCCATCCTCCGCACTCGCCCGCGCGCGCGCCGCGCGCCCAGCGGGCCAGCCCCATCCCCTCCAAACCGCGGCCGCGGTCATGGGGGCGCCGCCATGGCACGAAGGCGATCAGCCGCGACTACAACATCAACCACCGGTCGATGCACCGCAACGCTATGATTTTCACCCACTGTTGTGGAGACTTGCCGCCAAGGGTGCCGAGACCATGCACGCATAGAGGAGCAAAGGCACGAAGAGACGCGGTCCAAAAACGAGTGGAACACAACGTCCGGAAATGAATACAGCCTCGGCCCAACGACATCATGATAATTGCTACGACCGCCCTCGCGAGAGTGTCCCAGCACGAGCTGCGCAACCTGCCGCCCCACTGCGAGACCGAGCTGCGCAACAGGCAGCCCAAGTACGAAAACGAGCTGCGTAGCAGGCAGCCTTAGGACGACCACTGCCAGTACGACACCGAGATCACCACTAAGACCGACGCCAGGAACGACACGACCCAGCAGCCTGAAGGGGTTATTAAGTATCTCGTCATGGAGGTACCGGTGGACATCGGCCGCGCCGCCTACGCCGATTCCGGCTACGGCCGCGCCGCATACCACCAGTCCGACTACGGCAGTTTCTTCGATATCGATTTGTACTCCTACGACCCCCGGGACTACCCCAGCTTCCAAGACGTGAAACGCTTCGACTTGGCAGCCGACGGCTCCGATTTAGTGTTCGGTGACTACGAAGAGAGCGTGCCTTCTCAGCTACAACAGCCACGAGCACAGCGACCAGGGCCACCAGACGACCGTCGGGGACCACAAGCTGAACTACGAGGGCCTCCTGGAGAGCCACGAGTGGCACCAGGAGAGGTGCCAGGGCCACCTGCTGAGCTTCAAGAACCACCAGCAAAGCTACAAAGGCAACCGGCTGAGCTACGAAGGCCACATGCTGAACTACGAGGACCATCAGCAGGGCCACGAGGGCCACAATCTGAGCTACGGGAGCCACTGGCAGAGCTACCCAGGCCACCTGTTGAGCGACCAAAGCTTCCAACATACCGACGAGGGACACCAGCTGAGTTACAAGGACCTCCAGTGGAGCCACGAGAGGCACCAGGAGAGGTGCCAGGGCCACCAGCTGAGCTATCAGAACCACCAGCAAAGTTGCGACGGGCACCGGCTGAGCTACGAGGGCCACAGGCTTAATTACGAGGACCACAGGCAGGGAAACGAGGATCACCTGCCGAGCTACAAGAACCACCAGCAGAGCTACGAGGGCAACCGGCCGAGCTGCAAGGATCACAGGCTTCATTATACGAGGACCACGCGCATGGCTACGAGGACCACAACACCACCTACGGGAGCTACCTGGGCCACCTGCTGAGCGACCACAAGCACAGCTTCGAGGGCGAGAATCAGGGCCACGAGGACCTCCAGCCGAGCTACGACGACCACTAGCAGGCGCAGAGCTTCAGCCGGAGATACGAGAGCAACCAGCTGAGCTACCGGGGCAACCAGCTGGGCCACCTGAGCTGCGAGGGCCACAAGCTGAGCTTCGAGGTCGGCGAGCCGAGCTAAGAGGACAACACGCCGGGCTACGAGGACCACCAGTTAAACTACGAGGGCCACCAGCAAGGCTACAAAGGCCACAAGCTGAGTTACGCTGGACACGAGCTCAGCAGCAAGGGCCTCCTGCAGAGCTACCAGTACCACCAGCTGAATGACAAGGTCCACGAGCGGAGCCTCCAGAGCCCCCGACACAGCTGCGAGGACCACCAGACGAACTACGGGGGCAACAAGCCGAGATACGATGGCCACGAGCAGGACTCCGAGAGCCGCCGGCTGAGCTGCGTGGGCTACGAGAGGGGGACGAGGAGAGCGACGAGCAGGACGAGCCCATCTACATCATCATGTACGCCGCGCTCCAGGGGCTGGACCCCTCTCAGGGCCATAATCGCCGAGGGGCAAGCAGTCACAGAGGCCTTCGCCATCCGGGCCGCTTCGGAACTCACAAACCCCGCGTGCAACAAGCCCCTCGTCATGATGGCGCCCATAGGCATGAGCAGCGACCATCACTACGAGGACGGGGACGCGCTGGTCCGCGCTTTGGGCCCCTCAGGAGCCATCAACGCGCTCTTGTCCGGCCGCGACCACTACGAGGCGCACCAGAAAGGGACGCCTTTAGGCCAGCGGCCCATGATTATCGTCGCCGCAGAATTTCTACGACGACAGGAGGAAGACGAGTGCGACGACAAGGACAACGAGAGCGACGTGGAGCAGGAGGAAGCAACGAGAAGCACAACATTTATTCATACGAAGACAGGGTACGACCTAGCAGGCGACGGTTCTGGGGAGTAATGGCGAGACCAGCCTGCCTGAAGCTAGAGAAGATCATGAACTACTACAGCGCTTCGGACAAGGGTATTACGTGCACGTACCACGTCTACAGCGCGACAGACAAGGTGGCCCGTGTACAGTGTCACCGCCAAGGTACAACGCTTACGGCAAGTACATCTGCTACGGTTGAGTGGCCCCACCGCTCCACCCACCTCCCCTCCTCCCCCTCCGCGGCCGCAGCTGGTTTCCGCGAGTGTTGGTGGCATTCCCCTTTCTTCCTCCCCCCCCTCCAGAAAAGGACGGGCCCGCCCTGGCCCCGGCCGCGCCAGCGCGCGTCGGGCGCGGGGCGCGCCCTGTGGGTGACACCCGATGGTGCCGCGTAAGTAAGTAAGGAGGGGACGGGACGCCCCGACGCGCAGGTCATCTGCGACCTGGCCATCATGTTCTGCCGGCACCACCCCGCGAAGAGGGACGCGTTGCTGCAGCTCCCGCCTCAGCGTCTTCCCACACCAGGTGCAGAGGATGATGTGGGTTAGGGCAACGTCAGAGGGGGGAGAGGCTCAGGGGGGGATGCATCGACGCCATCTTACCAAGTGATCGCCGATACGGTCCCAATAGGCCCAACCTGCCGAGGAACGTGCGGACTCGCAATCGGGGCCCTATCGCTGATCAATCGGCGCTGTATTTCCCTAAGATGGCCCCGGCCTTAATCGTCCCCCCATCAGCCTGGGATCAGACAGAAGAGCAAGGTCTCGTGATAATGGTATATTCATGATGTCCTAGATTTCCCAGATGCAGTCGGGAACGTGTGCTCAGCGCGTCGCGGCGCCGGTTGTGGCCAGCCACGCTTCGATGCGACACGCTATCCACGTCCCCGTTCCCATGTTTGTCAATTTCCCGAGCTGTGCCCAGCCCCCCGCCCCGCTGAGCGGAGCGACGCATTATCCTCTTGCAGGTCATACAATGTGGCCGCCGTCGCTTCTCGCTAAGCATAAGTTCCCGACCGTACGCTCCATGATTCTTGCGCTCCCAAGATACCCCATTGTTGCGCGCGGACTCCACAAAGACGGGCTGGCACGTGCTCCGAAACTCTTGGGTCGTGTCCTGAGCCAAGCACATCATGGCATCACTCTTCGTCCCATAGGTGCTGGACCGGCACTGGGTGTCTCGGGCGAAATTCTTGACTACCGAACCACACACACATACCCATAGTGAGTTCGGAGATCGGAGGACTGGCTATGACTATGGGTGCGGTATGCCGGACCCCTGCGATGCTCCCGTTCGAGCGGGGGGCCCCATCTGACAACACGCACCCATAGCCCCGCCCGCCCTCCCTACGGGTATGGGTATGTTTTTCGTTCGTCAACTCTGTCGTTGCGGGGCAGACCTTTGGAGGCCTCGTGCCCAGGCCCTTGGGCGGCTCGGCAGGGTCGGCCCCGGGAGGCATCTCGAGCAGCTCCTGTAGCCCAGGGCCCGCTGCCGGGCCGCAGGCCGTCAAACAGTCGCTCGGGGAGGGCTTTGCGAGGTCCAGATGCCAGCGGCTCGAACAAAACAGTTCACCCGAGGTCTGGATCGTTCTCGTGTCGGCCGCCGCTTCGGAGGCAGCGAATGTTGTCCACAGGGAGCGAAGCCCGCCACCTTCCCCGCCTTCGGTGGCGCCCCTCGTCGCCACTTTGAGGGCTGAGGAGGCTGCGGGGGGCTCCCTAGCGGGAACCTCAGGGTGGCGGGCGTTTCTCTCTTTTCCTCCCTCGCTCCCACGAACGCGGGGCTTCGCAAATTGTCCAAAACGTCCTCCACCTCATCCTGAACTCCTCCCGAGGGCTGTTCAGACTGGAATGGTACAGAGTAGGTCCGCGTGGCTTCAGCGCAATAATGAAGCGGCGTACAAGTCGAGGAGGCACCATTGCGATGTTTAAGCAGGGCGCCTGCCACCCCCATCCTGTGTTTCTTTCAACTCCTCCTGCTGCTTCTGAGGAGGGGCCTCCATCCTGCTCATCGTAATCCTCCTCCATGTCCTCCTGCTCCTGAACCTCCTACTGCTGCCGCTGCGCGTTGCCTGTTCTGCTACGAGCGTGGCGCCACGCCCGGCGGCCGATGCAACAGCAACAAAGCTCAATTCAGCCTCAGTTTCTGCCGCTGGCGATTATTCGAGGGAAGGTCGGAGGACACGCCTTCGTACCTACACGCTCTAGGTCAGACGTGTCCTCCGAACGCTTGGTAGTCGCACCCAGAGCCATTGCCCCCCCATCCCGAAAAGGATCTGGACGTTGACCCGCGTTTCACCCGACAGGGAACGGGGAGGTCCTCTCCCTGCTTCCAGTTTGCTGCTATTGATTCTGCTGCATAGCCACAGATCTCGCGTTGGAGCTGCATGCAGGTGGGCCGCCAGCAGATCGTGACCCTCTCAATCAGGAGGCTCGTGATTGGTGGGTGCACGTTGTTCCTCTCGGGTGAGGGGCCTGTAGATGTTATCTATTTCCCGGAAAGGGCATAGGCCCAGGGTTCTCTTGTAGTTTGGTAAACCTGTCCCCGGTGCCTCAACTGAGGTGCGCCGGCGGATTTTTCCCAGAAAGGGCATAGGCCCAGGGTTCTCTTTTAGTTGGTTTACCCCCGGTTTTGACTTGTAGAGGGCCGGCGAAATGATTCTGCGTAAATGAGGTAAAGAGCTGATTTTTGTTTTTGAAAAAATGCGTTTCGTGCGTGCCCGCTCCAGGAAAGTGCGCCCCCCATCTCGGATCCTCGATAAAAACAGGGTCCGCAGACCACCGCTTTCCATCGTAACACAAATCGAGCCGCGCGTGCAGGGCCTCGACCCCGCCTGCTGCCGCCGACGGTGGGAGCGGCGCGGCGCGAGGCTGCCCCCCGCGGGCGGCTGCGACGGGCCCAGGCCCGACGCACCGCCGCTTGGGCGGCCTCGCGCCACGCCTGCGTGCAGCAGACAGGGCGGAGGGTGGGAGAAAGAACGCGCGCCAGGGAGGCACCCGCCGCGCGCGCGCGCGGGGCGCGCGCGCGGCGCCTCCTCCAAATGCAAATCGCCTGCGAAGCGCACGCGCCGCGGGGGCAGCGACCCCCCCCCGCGGCGACGCAACCCCGGCGCTAGCAAATCACCTGCGAAGCGCACGCGCCGCGGGGCAGCGACCCCCCCCCCGCGACGCGCAACCCTGGCGCGCGACGGCGCGATGGCCCGCGCCTGCGCAGCGAGGCCGCGGTCGCGTCGCACTGCCGCGCGCGCGACCTACGCGCAACCGTGGCCGATTTGTGCCCGCCCACAACGGTGAGCGTCCGCGTCTGCCTACAAAAAAGGTGCGGAGCGTTTTTCGCAGAATCCTGACAAATAACGGGGTCTGGAGCCCCGACCGCGACGCGGAAAAGCGCCCCGCGCGCAGGAATTCCGAGGATGTCTCGCGCGCGCCGCGTCCCGCGCGCAGGAATTTCGAGGATGTCTCATCTGATTCGCTTGTTTTGTCAGGATTTCTTAGAATGTTGGCCGGATGTCTCGAGCGAAACGCTTGTTTTTCATAATTTGTTGAGGATGTCTCGAGCGAAACGCTGGTTTTGCAAAATTTGGGGGTGTCTCGAGCGGGGGCTTCGTGGGGGGCCAGAATTCAGAGGATGTCTCAGGCGAAGTGCTTGTTTTCGTGTCCCGCTCGCAGGAATTCCAAGGATGTCTCGCGCGGGCCGCGTCCCGCGCGCAGGAATTCCGAGGATGTCTAAAGTAATTAATTTGTTTTGTCAGGACTTCTTGGGATTTTGGCAGGATGTCTCGAGCGAAACGCTTGTTTTTCATAATTTGTTAAGGATGTCTCGAGCGAAACGCTGGTTTTGCAAAATTTAGGGATGTCTCGAGCGGGGGCTTCGTGGGGGGCCAGAATTCAGAGGATGTCTCATGCGAAGTGCTTGTTTTCGTGTCCCGCTCGCAGGAATTCCAAGGATGTCTCGCGCGTGCCGCGTCCCGCGCGCATGAATTTTGAGGATGTCCCGTAGCGCGTCCCCTTGGCACGTCCTACGGTGCGACCCCATGGCACGTCTCTTGGCACGTCGGCTGCCGCGTCCCTTGGGACGTTCCGCGGCGCGTCCTCCTGGCATGTCCCCCTGTCAATTAGCTCTGGGGCAGCTACTGCGTGTTCAGGCAGCTCGAGCTTCAGATCCAGATCAGTTCGGTCAGGACTCGGATGCAAAGGAAGACTCGATCCACGACGCTATAGAGCACAACCACGGCATGGCACATCGCAATTCAGCACGGTGCAGCACAGCACAGCCCTCGGCACGGTACATCAAGATCGATACAATCAGCATTGCACTTGCCCGTCACCCAATCAGGTGTCTTTGAAAACGTTGCCATGCGCTACATTTCTATATTTCTTTCCGGGTTCGTGGGTCGATCATGCTTCCCTGATAAATATCGAGGTCGAGGTGCGCCGGCAGATTAAAGTTTGAGGATGTCTCGAGCGAAATGCTTGTTCCCGGAAAGGGCTGAAGCCCAGGGTTCTCTTTTAGAAGTTTGCCCCCGGAATCGACGGGAAGAAAGCCGGCGGAATTATTCTGCGATAAATTACGTGCGGGAAGAGGGCCGGCGGATGTGAGGACGTCTCGAGCGAAACGTTTGTTTTTCATACTTGCGGATGTCTCGAGCGAAATGCTGGTTTTGCAGAGTTGGGGGATGTATCGAGCGAAACGCTTGGTTTTCAGAATTTGTTGAGGATGTCTCGGGCGAAACGCTGGTTTTGCAGAGTTGGGGTATCTAACACAGCGTCGGGCCCAACGCGAATTAGGAGGAAACACACTGGGGACCGAAAAGCGCTACCCGAACACATGTCCCAATACAGAAAAGTGATGGTTTCTTGTTCTGCATAGGGGGTTGCGCTTTGGGGGCCTCTGCAGGGAAGACGTTGCGAGGATGTCTCGAGCGCGAGCGCGAATTCAGCGTATCCAGGTCACGCAGGGGGGTATCTAACATAGCTGTCCCGAGCTGGAACCACGTGTTTTTTTCATGCTCAGGCCACCAAGGGAGATCTCTAATATGATTGTCCCGAGCTGGAACCACGTGTTTTTTCGTGTCCAGGCCACCCAGGGGGTATCTAACACGGTTGTCCCGAGCTGGCACCGTGTTTTTACGTGTCCAGGCCACCAACACGACGCTTGTCCCCAGCACGTTCTGTAGCGCGTCCCCTTGGCACGTCCCGCGGTGCGTCTCCGTGGCACATCCCCTGGCACGTCGCCTGGCGCGTCCCTTGGAACGTTCCGCGGCGCGTCTTCCTGGCATGTTTCCTTGTCAATTAGCTCTGGGTCAGCTACTGTGTGGACTATGTGTTCAGGCAGCTCGAGCTTAAGATCCAGATCAGTTCGGTCAGGACTCGGATGCAAAGGAGGACTCGATCCAACACACTATAAAGCACAATCGCGGCATGGCACATCGCAGTTCAGGGCGGCTCAGCACAGCACAGAACTCGGCACTGTACATCAAGATCGGTACATTCACTCCGCATTGCAACCTGGCACGTTCCGTGGCGCGTCCTATGGCGAGTCCCCTTGGCACGTCGCGCGGCGCGTCCCCTGGCACGTCCACTGGCACGTTCCGTAGCGCGTCCCCTTTGGCACGTCCCGCGGTGCGTCCCCATGGCACGTCCCCTGGCACGTCGCCTGGCGCGTCCCTTGGAACTTTCCGCGGCGCGCCTTCCTAGCATGCCCCCCTGTCAATTAGCTCTGAGGCTTTGGGGCAGCTACTGTATGTTCAGGCAACTCGAGCTTAAGATCCAGATCATTTCGGTCAGGACTCGGATGCAAAGGAGGACTCGATCCACAACACTATAAAGCACAATCGCGGCATGGCACATCGCAGTTCAGGGCGGCTCAGCACAGCACAGAACTCGGCACGTACATCAAGGTCGATACACTCAGCATTCCAACTTGGCGCGTCCCGTGGCGAGTCCCCCTGGCACGTCGCGCGGCGCGTCCCCTGGCACGTCCCGTGGCACGTCCATGGGCACGTTCCGTAGCGCGTCCCCTCGGCACGTCCCGCGGTGCGTCCCCGTGGCACGTCCCCTGGCACCTCGCCTGGCGCGTCCCTTGGGACGTTCCACGGCGCGTCATCCTGGCATGTTCCCCTGTCAATTAGCTCTGAGGCTCTGGGGCAGCTACTTTGTGTTCAGGCAGCTCGAGCTTAAGATCCAGATCATTTCGGTCAGGACTCGGATGCAAAGGAGGACTCGATCCAACACACTATAAAGCACAATCGCGGCATGGCACATCGCAGTTCAGCATGGCTCAGCACAGCACAGAACTCGGCAAGGTACATCAAGATCGATACACTCAGCATTCCAACCTGGCACGTTCCTTGGCACGTTCCGTGGCGCGTCCCGTGGCGAGTCCCCCTGGCACGTCGCGCGGCGCGTTCCCTGGCACGTCCCGTGGCACGTCCATTGGCAGGTTCCGTAGCGCGTCCCCTCGGCACGTCCCGCGGTGCGTCCCCGTGGCACGTCCCCTGGCACCTCGCCTGGCGCGTCCCTTGGGACGTTCCGCGGGGCGTCCTCCTGGCATGTTCCCCTTTCAATCAGCTCTGGGGCAGCTACTAGTTATGTGCTCAGGCAGCTCGAGCTTAAGATCCAGGTCAGTTCGGTCAGGACTCGGATGCAAATCAGGACCCGATCCACAACGCTATAGAGCACAGTCGTGGCATGGCACATCGCAATTCAGCACAGCGCTGCACAGCACAGCCCTCGGCACGGTACATCAAGCTCGATACACTAAGCATTGCATTTGCTCGTCGCCCAATCAGATGTCTTTGACACGTTGCCATGTCTTACATTTCTGTTTTCCTTTCCGGGTTCGTAGGTCGATCATGTTTTCGAAAACCCGATCGATAAATCACAGGGTGCGGGCCACCTCAGCACGACCACACCCCAGCACGACCACACCCCAGCACGACCACGCCCCAACACGACCACGCCCCAGCACGACCACACCCCAGCACGACCACACCCCAGCACGACCACACCCCAGCACGACCACACCCCAGCACGACCACACCCCAGCACACCCGATCGATCAATCACAGGGTGACCACCCCAGCACGACCACACCCCAGCACGACCACACCCCAGCACGACCCCACCCCAGCACGACCACACCCCAGCACGACCACACCCCAGCACGACCACACCCCAGCACGACCACACCCCAGCACGACCCCACCCCAGCACGACCCCACCCTAGCACGACCACACCCCAGCACGACCACACCCCAGCACGACCACACCCCAGCACGACACCCCAGCACGACCCCAGCACGACCACCCCAGCACGACCACACCCCAGCACGACCACACCCCAGCACGACCCCACCCCAGCAAGACCACACCCCAGCACGACCACACCCCAGCACGACCTCACCACAGCACGACCACACCCCAGCACGACCACGCCCCAGCACGACCACGCCCCAGCACGACCACGCCCCAGCACGACCACCCCCAGCACGACCAACCCCCAGCACGACCACCCCCCAGCACGACCACCCCCCAGCACGACCACACCCCAGCACGACCACTCCCCAGCACGACCACACCCCAGCACGACCACACCCAGTCGCACCCCCGTTGAATGTTTCGTGGGGTGTCTGGTTGAGTGGTTGCCTGTTCGTGGGGTGTCTCGTGGAATGTTTCACGGGGTGTCTCGTGGAATGTTTCGTGAGGTGTCTCGTGGAATGTTTCGTGAGTTGTCTCGTGGGATGTTTCACGGGGTGTCTCGTGGGATGTTTCGTGAGGTGTCGCCCAGTTGGGTATTGTGAAAACGTGACCATGCTGCACATGTCTATATCCCTTTCCGGGTTCGTGGGTCCATCATGTTTTAGCTGGTAAGCATGTCCCCGGTGCCAAGTTCGAGTTTCTCTTGCGATTGTTGACGAAGTCGAAGAGGGCTGGCGAATTGCAAAATTTAGGATTTCCCGAGCGAAACGTCTGTTTTTCAGAATTTGTTGCGGATGTCTCGAGCGAGACCCCCTGGCGAGTCGCGCGGCGCGTCCTTTGGCACGACCCGTGGCACGTCAAATTGGCACGTTCCGTAGCACGTCCCCTTGGCACGTCCCGCGGTGCGTCCCTGTGGCACCTCCCTTGGCACGTCGCTTGGCGCGTCCCTTTTGACGTTCCGCGGCGCGTCCTCCTGGCGGGTACCCTTGTCAACTAGCTCTGGGGCAGCTACTATGTGCTCAGGCAGCTCGAGCTCAAGATCCAGATAATTAAGTACATTCAGGGCTCGGATGCAAAGGAGGATTCGATCCACAACGCTAGAGAGCGTAATCGCGGCATGGCACATCGCAACTCAGCACGGCGAAGCACAGCACAGCCCTCTGCACGGTACATCAAGATCGATACATTCAGCATTGCATTTGCCCGTCGCCCAATCAGGTGTTTTTGAAAACGCTGCCATGCCTTACATTTCTATATTCCTTTCCGGGTTCTTGGGTCGATCATGTTTGTTTCTTGGGGTGTTCGTGGAGGCCTCAAGAGGCTCTCTTGGAGCTTTTTGGTGGCCTCGAGGGCCGTCTGGAGACCATCTTGGGCGTCTTGGAACGAGATTTCGGCGTCCGGGGCCATATCGGAGCGTCTCGGGGCCGCCTCGACACGCTCCTGAAGCGTTCTGGGGATCGAAAGACGGCGTGCCGGGGGTCGAAAGACCGCACCTCAGGAGAAAAACCATCTCTGATCCGAGGTTCGCTGGGCTCCTCTCCTGGTACTTGTCGTCGAGGGGCCCCCCGGGACCGCCTCGCGCGGGCGAACTAGAAGATTGTAGACCTGTTAACTGAGATCTTAGCACGCCTCTGGCCCCTTGGGCCGGCGAACTGTGCCCTACGGGGTCAAATTGGCTGCATCAGAGCCCATCGAAGCCCAATAGATTCGATTGGAGCCCAATGGAGTACATTCGAGACCGATTGAAGCCAATGGAGTCCAACTGACTCTTTTCAGTCAATTGTACTATGTCTATGTTGAGTGAACGCCGGTAGACACAATGGCAACGCCCCCTGACGAGTCATGGCGATAAGTGATAAAGCCCACATTGTTCAACACCTAGAACAAACTCACAGTAACGATATCAGGAAACTTCGTATTCACACAACTACCATCGGTACTTAGCACCACGGTTCATGCAACACATTCCTGGTAAGGTGTATAATGAGGCTGCTGAGCACACATGCAGTCTTATTGATTAAAGCAAAGGCGCTTGCAAAGCGCACAAACTCGCACACGAAATACGAGCGAATCGAGCACAGAACATGCATGCCGCGCGTACCCCGAACCGTGAATTACAATAGGTAGTGTACACAAGTATGTGCGTATGTGAGTGTATGCATTTGCGCGTGTGCCATGTGTATACGCATACTGGCCCTTTGACATTTCCATACCTTGTGCGCACATGCCTCGTGCACACATGCGCAAATAACACATATTGATAATGGAACAGGCTCGGGGACCCGTTGGTAGTCTGAATGAAGCATCGTTGAGGTACGTCCCAGCAGTGCTCCGCACAGACATGCCCCCCTCGCTTTTTGTTCAAAGTCTTGAAAATGGCGGCGTCTTGCCGTCGGGAATAATCACTATTCCCTGCTAGTGGGGGGGGGGGGGCTTGGAAGCTTTCAGATTTTATCAACCAGAGAGCCGGGCGAGCGCGATCTGAAACAATTGACGCGTAGCGTGTGCCCAATATTCGAGATTCCTTGGTCAGATGAGTTCGCCGCGAATTTTCTCGGCGCGACCCCACTCAAAAGCCTAGCAATGAAAGAATTGAGGGGCTGTTCGGCCATTCTGCCATTGCGATAGTGAGGCAAGTCACTTGATCGCGGTTCTAGACATCCACATACATCCATTTGTTCAGTCCGCCTCCGAAGAGGCCCACGGCGTCGATCTGTCGGATCTGCGTGCTCGAAGACTGGCGACTGGAAACGCCAGGTTGAAGTAAACCATCTAGGGGAAAAGCCCGATCAGATCGATGCAGGTGGATGTCTACCCAGACATGTTTGGGTCGTGGAAAGTTTCGCGATGGAATGTTTTTGGCAGTTTTCGGCCTCTGGGGGCCCTCGCCGAGCCCCTGGACCGTCAAGAAAAATTCAGCATGAAAAGCCAGCCCTGGGGAAAAGGTCGGGACTTCTGGGGACCGCGTATTGAACAAATGTGTGGGGTCTAGGTCAGGCTGGTGTTGAGATGGCGGCTGCTCCGGCCGGTGCCGATTGGATGGCCGAGGTTCATACACCCGTTCTTGGTGCGGCCGTTTCCTGGCCATCGCGTGGCCACCGCCACGACCTTGTCGCAGCTGCTGCTGAGCGGCAGCGACCAGGGACTCAGTGGCGACAGGGAACCAGAAAAACCTCCCAGACCCAGGCATCTACCGCATTGACAAACATCAAGGCGGTTGTATTGTAGTGGCCTTCGGCCAGTGCCGCCGATCCGGGTCGCTCGGGGTTATTCTCCAGACGCAGAAATTATGGGCGCACACTCAAACGCACACACACAGTCACACCACTTAACCTGCGCCGCAGACATGCGCACACAGCATCACCCACACACACATACTAGTTGGGAAACGCTCCTGTAGTACTAGTAGTAGTAGTAGTAGTAGTAGTAGTAGTAGTAGTAGTAGCAGTAGTAGTAGTAGTAGTAGTAGTAGTAGTGGTAGTAGTAGTAGTAGTAGTGGTTGTGGTAGTAGTGGTAGTAGTAGTAGAGGCCTCGTTCCGCGGCTTCTCTCGACTTCCCGCGGTCTCTCTCAAGTTTCGAGCACGCGGTGAGTTTCACGATATATGTGTGTGTATGTACGCGTGCATGCATGTATGCATGCATTGATCATGTGTGCCTGTGTGTAGGTACGTATGTATGTATGTATGCTTGTGCGCGTATGTATGTATTTAGTTTGTATGTATGTTTGTATGTGTGTATGATAATATGTGTGTATGTGTGTGAATGTAAGTATGTATGTCTGGAAGATTGTTTTTCTATGTATGCAAATGTGTTTAAATGTAGGTATGTATGCATGTGTGTATGGATGTGCGTTTGAAGAGCGAGGATGTTTCAAAGAAGAGGCACTCGGTGACGCGATCGTTGAGGGATAGGAGTGAGGTCGCAGAGGAGGAGGAGGAGAATGAGGAAGAGGCGATAACTTGAAGGAAAACGATGAGACGGAGGACATCCTGCCGGTGGCGCCCTGGGCGGTGCCGCGGAAGAAACCGGGGGCCTGCCGGAGGCAGTCTGGAGGCCTCTGGGGAGCTGTTTTGGGGCCTCTTGGAACCTCTTTTGGGCCTCTTGTGGGCTTCTTGGGGCCCCTTGGGGGTCTCTTGGGGCCTCCTGGGGGCCTCTTGGGGCGGAAAGCTCGGTTCTTTCGGTTCGTGGTCCCCCTCTTGGGCCCCTCTTGGGGCTCTCTTGGGGCCTTCTTGGGCTGTCCAGAGGCCCTCTTGGGCCGTCTTGGGGCCCTCTTGGGCCGTCTTGGGGCTCTCTTGGGCCGTGTTGGAAGCATCGTGGGCCGTCTTGGGACGGACTTGGGGGCCTCTTGGGCCGTCTTCGAGCGTCGGACGCCCGAAAAGGCAAGAACGCTAAAAACCCTGAGAAAACCAATGAAAATCAACGATTCTGGCCTCTTGGGGCCCTCTTGGGAGGCCTCTTGGAAGCTTCTTGGGGCGTCTTGGAGACACCTTGGGCCGTCTGGAGGCCATCTCGGGCGTCTTGGAGCGATTTTTCGGCGACTCGGGGCCCTCTTGGAACCCCTTGGGGGTCTCTTGGGCCCCCCCCCTCCTCCAAAGCGCCGGAAAAAGCGGAGCATGGCGCCCCCCCCCCCCCTATCTTCCACTCCCCCGGAGCGGCCCCGGGGTTCGCCGGAAACTCGCACCCCCCCCCCCCCCCCCACCCCCCCTTCCCCGGCAGAGCCACCCCGGCGACCCCCCCAGAGGCTGAAGCTCAGCCTCGAGGCTGTAGCTGAGACCCCTTGAAACTCACACGCCGGATCGGCGGATTTCGCCATGTCGGGACACTGGGGGGCCCTCGCCAGGTCCCAGGACCATCAAAAACAATTCACGATGAAAAGCCAACCGATGGGAAAGGATCAGGACGTCAGGACTTACAGGGACCCCGTATTGAAAAAATCGAGACATCAGATGTCTAGAGACATCTGGCGCCTCGGTTTTCTCGGTTTTGTTCGAGGCGCGTGCCCTCAGATCTATCGACCAGTTTCCCTGGGCTGGCTTCTCATCCCGAGCCTTTTTGTTGCGGTTCCCCGAAAGGGCCTGAGCGTTCTCTTTTAGTTGCTTACCTCCGGAATCGACGGCTGGTAGGGCCGGCGAAATTATTTGCGATGAATAACAAGGTCGCGTAGGGCCGGCGAAATGATGTTTGAGGATGTCCCGAATGAAACGCTTGTTTTGCAGAAATTGTTGAGGATGTCTCGAGAGAAACCTTTGTTTTGTATTATAGGTTTTCCTTTCCTGGGGACCAGAATTCAGAGGATCTCTCAAGTGAATTGCTTGTTTTCACGTGCCCAGGTCTTGAGAATGTCTCGAAGGAGACACTTGGCTTCACGCGTCCAGGTTGCCCAGGCAGATGATGTCTAGCATGAGGAATGATTGAGGATGTCTCGAGCGAGACGCTTGTTATCACGCGTCCAGGTCGCCCAGGCGGATGTCTAGCATAACGATGTGTTAAGGAAGTCTCGATCGAGACGCTTGTTTGCACGTGTCCAGGTCGCCCAGGCGGATGTCTAGCATGAGGAGGTGTTGAGAATGTCTCGAGCGAAACGCTTGTTTCCCATGCGGATGTCGAGCATGAGGATGTGTTGAGGATGTGTTGAGGATGTGTTGAGCGAAACGTATGTTTTCATGTGTCCAGGTCGCCCAGGAGGATGTCTAGCATGAGGATTTAGGCAGGATGTCTCGAGCGAAACGCTTGTCCCCAGCACGTTCCGCAGCGCGTCCCCTTGGCACGTCCTGCGGTGCGTCCCCATGGCACGTCCCCTGGCGCGTCGCTTGGCGCGTCCCTTCGGACGTTCCGCGGCGCGTCCTCCTGTCATGTCCCCTTGTCAATTCGCTCTGGGGCAACTACTGTGTGCTCAGGCAGCCCGAGCTTAAGATCCAGATCAGTTCGGTCAGGACTCGGATGCAACGGAGGACTCGATCCACAAGCACAGCACAGCTTTCGGCACGGAACATCAAGATCGATACACTACGCATTGCAATTTGGCACCATCCTTGGCACGTTCTGTGGCGCGTCCCGTGGTGAGTCCCACTGGCACGTCGCGCCGCGGCGCGTCCCCTGGCACGTCCCGTGGCACGTCCATTGGCACGTTCCATAGCGCGTCCCCTTGGCACGTCCCGCGGTGCGTCTTCATGGTACGTTGTCTGGCACGTCGCCTGGCGCGTCCCTTGGGACGTCCTGCGGCGCGTCCTCCTGGCATGTCCCCCTGTCAATTTGCTCTTGGGCAGCTACTATGTGCTCAGGCAGCCCGAGCTTAAGATCCAGATCAGTTCGGTCAGGACTCGGATGCAAAGGAGGACTCGATCCACAACGCTACAGGCTATAGAGCACAATCGCGGCATGGCACATCGCAATTCAGCATAGCGCAGCACAGCACAGCTTTCGGCACTGTACGTCAAGATCGATACTTTCAGCATTGCATGTGCCCGTCGCCCAATCAGGTGTCTTTGAGACGTTGCCATGCCTTACATTTCTACATCCTTTCCGGGTTCGTGGGTCGATCATGTTGCGGCCCCAGGATTTGAAAATTGGTTGAGAATGGCGAGGACAGTACGCTTCGACTGTTCCCGGAAAGGGCCTGGGCCCAGGGTTTTCTTTTAGTGTGGTGAACCATGTGCCGCGCCTAAACTTGCGTAGGGCAGGCAAAGTTATTGTACGATAAATAACGAGGTCGCGTAGGGCCGGCGAATTAAAAAGTTGAGAACGTCCCGAGCGAAACGCTGGTTTTTGAAATTCTGTCCCATAAGACACATGGTATATTTATCCTTTTCGTTTGTTGCGGATGTCTCGAGCGGCACGCTTGTTTTGCAGATCATGTTGAGAATGTATCGAGCGAAACGCTTGTTTTATGTCACAGATGGCTCCTCCTGAGGGCCGGGATTCAATGGATGTCTCAAGTGAAATCTTTGTCTTTACGTGCCCAGGTCTTGAGGATGTCTCGCAAGAGACACTTGGTTTCACGTGTCCAGGTTGCCCAGGCAGATGTCTAGCACGAGGATCTGTTGAGGATGTCTCGAGCGAGACGCTTGGTTTCACTTGTCCAGGTCGCCTAGGCAGATGTCTAGCATGAGGATTTGTTGAGGATGTATCGAGCGAAACGCTTGGTTTCACGCGTCCAGGTCGCCCAGGCGGGTGTCCAGCATGAGGATTGAGAACGTTTCGAGCGAGACGCTTGTTTTCACGTGTCCAGGTCGCCTAGGCGGATGTCTAACATGAAGATGTGTTGAGGATGTCTCGAGCGAGACGCTTGCTTCACGTGTCCAGGTCGCCCAGGTGGATGTCTAGCATGAGGATGTGTTGAGCGAACCGTTTTTTTTTCCAGAAAGGTCGTGGGTCCAGAGTTCTCTTTTAGACTTTTAGATGTTTTCCCCCAGAATCGATGGGAAGATGGTTGGCGAAATTGTTTGCGGCAAATAGCAAGGTGGGAAAGGAGATGGCGAAATTATGTTTGAGGATGTCCAGAGCGAAACGCTTGTGTTTCAGAATTTATTGAGGACGTCTGAAGCGAAACGCTTGTTTCGTGTTATAGACTGTCCCTCTCCTGGAGACCACAATTCAGAGGATGTCTCAGGTGAAATGTTTGTTTTTTCACGTGCCCAGATCTTGAGGATGTCTCGAGCGAGACGCTTGGTTTCACGCGTCCAGGTTGCCCAGTCTAGCGTGAGGATTTGTTGAGGATGTCTCGAGCGAGACGCTTGTTTTCACGCGTCCAGGTCGTCTAGGCGGATGTCTAGTATGAGGATGTGTTGAGGATGTCTCGATCGAGACGCTTGGTTTCGCGCGTCCAGGTCGCCCAGGCGGATGTCTAGTATGAGGATGTGTTGAGGATGTGTCGAGCGAGACGCTTGGTTTCACGTGTCCAGGTCGCCCAGGCGGGTTTCTAGCATAAGGAGGTGTTGAGAACGTCTCGAGCGAGACGCTTGTTTTTATGTGTCCAGGTCGCCCAGGCGGATTTCTAACGTAAGGATGTGTTGAGAACATCTCGAGCGAAACGATTGTTTTCGCGCGCCCCGGTCACCCAGGCGGACGTCTAACATGAAGATGTGTTGAGGATGTCTCGAGCGAACCACTTGTTTTCACGTGTCCAGTTCGCCCAGGCGGATGTCTAGCATGA